ATAGGACAGCAAAACAAAGCAAAAACAAGCAAACAAAAATACAGCATAGCAAAGCAAATTTCAAAAAATTAATTTAAAAATTTAAAAGAATTAAAAAATTTGAAAAGTTTTTCTCTTTTTTCGAAAAACAACAAAGTCAATCAGATGAGGTTTGTCTGGACAACTTATGTTGTCTGAGGCTCACTGTTTTGTATACATATTTTGGTTCTGGGAGGTACTGTGTATCAGCCAATGTTAGGAGCTGTTTAGGTTTGGCTCCGATGTCCTTATGTAGTTGGCTAGTCTGATGCTCTCTGTGGGCCACCTCCACTTGTCAGCTATTTTGCCTCCCCCTTGTGGTTGCCTGATCTTACTCCAGAGTCTTCTGAAGAGACTGTTTAGGTACAGAGAAGCTACTGTAGCTCTGGCTATTGCTCCCCTTACTTAGAGGTTTCACTGTCAGGCACTCATTGTGGAGAAGTTACTCTCTGCTTCAAAGTCAATTCCTCAGTGTCTACGCTATCCTCCAATTCTAGTTCCCCATACAATGGCCTGCTGCAGTTTCAGATTGACTTCAGTCTGTTGCCTTTTCTGTATTGGCAGTTTCAGTGTCCTGGGCTCAGCGGATTTGATTAAAAGAGACTCCTGTGAGCACTTTGCCTGCCCAGCCCCTAGAAGGGGTTTTAAGCTTTTCTTCTAGTTCCCAAACAATAATCCCGGAGAGTCCTATATTGTCCTCCTGTGAGCTGTTCTCCCTTCCCCCTCAGGACTGTGCCCTGCAGGGGATATCTGGGGTTTCAGTGAGCTAAACCAACCCCTTTCCTCTTGTGAATGGTGCTCCTAGTCTGCAGGAGAGGTAAGCGTGCACCATCCCTTCTTTCCTGCATCTGTTTGCTGATCTCACGGGGTCCTTATTTCAAACTCTCCACTATGTAGACCAAACCCCAGCTTTCACTGATCTGTCTCCCCAGTGCAAGCCAGGAAAGTGGACACCACAGTAATAAAAAACTCAAAAAGGCACAAAGCAACACAGGCACAGAATGTACCCTGCAAGGCCCCGTCATCCCCGCTGCTTGGTACCAAGCAGGAACGGTCACAAAGTCAGTCCCACACCACTCCCCTGCACAGCTGATCTCAGTAAAACTGAGGCAGCTCCTTGCATGTTATCCAGGCTCCCCTCACTGTGGGTCAGAAATCCCAGATTCGCAGCACAGGCTGCTCCAGCAGCTGAAGACCCGATCCACCCCACTGGTTGCTCCAGTCTCTCTCTGGGGGCTGGAATCCCCATCCCCATCCACCCCACTGGCAGCTCTGGCAGCTGGAGACTCAATCCATCCCATCGGCATCTCCGGTCTGTCTCTTGCAGTGAGAGGGCTCTTTTCCCCTTCCCTGTGCCACACAGTTCAAATGCTTTATGGGGTTCTGCACAATGCCTTACAGCAAAGCAGAGGGTCCCTGTAGGTGGCTGCTTAGTGAAGCCTTCTTGCCCCTTTGTATTGGGAAGCCACACACTGTGGGACAGCCTTTCCCATGGTCAGTACGAGGGGTGAAAGCGTCCTGTCCTGTCTTCCACCATTAGGCACAATGTTTCACTGGAAAGGCCTGGTCCCCACCTCGCAAGCACAGTGTTCTCCTGGCTCCCTCTGCCTGCCCTGTATGGGCTCTCCCTCCCTTCTCCTCCACTCTGGGTTTGAGATCCCAACTTTTGGATGCCAGTCCACACTCCCAAGGGGAGGGAGCTTTGCAGCCTCTAACCCTCGGGCCACGGAGCCCAGCACTGGCTTCAGGGGGACTCCCCCTTTCTACAGACCCCCCTCACCAGACTCTATGATGTTTCTTCAGTACTCCTTACTCAAAATATGTCCACTCAGGTATTTTTCTCTTGTTTTTCTAAGTTGGTTGTGGAGTACTTTAGTGGTAAATCCAGTCCATGGTGGGGTACAAGGGCGCTCTGCTTCTTGTTAGAGTGCCGCCATCTTCCCTCTCCCCTGACAGATTTTTATCCACTCATTTATTGATGATCACTCATGCAGCCACTATGGAAAACAGTATGGAGGTTCCTCAAAAAAATTAAAAGTGGAACTGCTTTTGTCATTAATTTATGACAGTTTTAAAACATTGTGCCTTGGAGAAAGCCTCTTTGGATTGAGGTAACTAGGTATTCTGGTTTTTTTCTTGGTTTTGAGGATCTAGCTCTTTCCATAGGTTTTGGAGGTTTTCATCACCTGTTTGTTTAAACAGGCTCTCGATTCCCTTTTCCCTCTCTTCTTCTTCTGGTATGCCTCTTGTTGTTATATTGCCCTTTATGATGGAGTCAGATTTTGTATAGTGTTTTCATTTTTTTACACTCAAATCTCTTTCTTATTTCTTCTATATCAGTTCTAGATTTCTATCTCCTATGTCACTAATTCTTTCCTCCATGTGGTCAGCTATATTTCGTATGCTCGCTAGTTCATTCCTGGTCTATTTTATTGAGTTCTTCAACTCCAAGATTTCCATTTTTTTTTAATAGTTTCAGTGTCTTTAGTAAAGTCTTCATTTTGCTCATTAATTTGTTTTCTGAGTGCATTAAATTGCCTGTATTTTCTCACATCTCATCGAGTATTTTCAGAACTGCAGTATTGATTTTTTTGTTATTTATATTACTTATTTCCATTTATTTAAGTTTGCTTTCTGGTGATTTTTTGTTTTCTTTTTGAGCCACCTGGCTATCATAGTAATTCAGGGTATTTGGTGAATTTCTTCTCTGTCTAGTCATCTATGTATGAGTGGCACTTCTCTAGCATATTAATGCAAAAATTATTATTTTTCTGTAGGCAGTATTGAATCACAAGTTTTTAGCTCTCTCAAACCCCAGTGCTCACCCCCATAGTCTCTGGCTGCCATCATTGTAGCCATGATGAGTGGGGGTTGGGTTGGCTGTGGGAGCCTGGCCACCTTTTTTGTTTTCCCCTCCCAGTAATGGCATACTTGGAGCTCTGCAGGGTCACCCCCTCCCCCCCCCGCCCTGACCTGAGACCAGTCATGGCATGCATCCTTTGTTCTTGGAAAATAGTGATTCTGTAGTACCAGTTCTTGGGTTTGCTGATAATGTGCTCCACAGTCCAACACCAAGGGCAAAGGCAGGGAAGCTCTGGGAGTCTGTGTAGTGGCAGAGCTCCATAGCTTTGTTTCTCTGTGTGCATGGTGACTACCCAACAATGATGGCAACACCCCTGTGCTGTGTCCTTCCCAGGTCTCTTGGTTCAGCTGCAGCTTGTACTGCTCACTCTTGTAGGAATACCTACTGAATCTCTCTGCTCATCCCAGCTGAAAGGATTGCCAGCCACCATCCAATTCCTCCTGTCTCTGGGTTGAGCCTTGCCACGAGCTTCTGGCTACAAGCCTACATCTATGGCTCATCTTAGCCCTTCTCCTTACCTCCCCCGTTTGTTCCCAGTTGCCCACCTTCAGATGTTTCAATGTGCAGATCCCTCAGGCATGCCTTTATGTTGAGCAGAGAATCCTTTGTCACATTATAGCTGTTTAAATTGTTGAAATTTCAAGGAGATAGGTGAAGGGGATCTCTCATGCCACCATTTCTCTGATGTCACAGGAGACATTATTTTACATGGCATCAGTTTGCATGATTTTATTATATTCTCAAATAGCCTTCATCAGTCCAGATTTTAGCGCGCAGAACATAGCTTTTTAAGGTCCTCTATTTTGAATCAGAATAATGACAAGAAAGACCAGAAATCTGAAGAAAATGGGGAGAGATTAGTTGATGGAGAAGACCATAAAGTATAGGCTAGATAAGGAAGAAAGGGAAGCTACTAGGAATCTGGCAGATTGAGAGGTCCAGAGATGAGGATTGGAGGAAGTAATATCAGCAGCATTTGGAAATATATTGTGGTCAGAGTAGGATATTGAGATTGAAGTTTCAAAGTGGGGTATGAACCTCTAGGTAACTTCAAGAGCCATCCTGTGGCCATGGATATGGGAGGCTGATAGTGGAGTAGAGGAAAACTTCAGTTAATATAATTTGATTTGAGTGAGGTAAGGAACCTGCTAAGCCAGTGTAGGTTATCTGCGTGGACCCTAAAGATAAGACTTAAGACAGGAGTCAGATTCTTCAGAAAATAGTGACCTCATTATAGCCAATTCCAAAAATTGGTAGAAGACAACAGTGAGGAAGGCAATGTAAGCTAAACAGCGTGACCAATAATGGAAGTCTTTTGAAGAGTAGAAAGGAGTAGGAGAAAACAGTGGTAGGAGCATGGAGAAAGTTAATCCCACATTTGCCCTGTTTTAGGATTATGGCATGTGGAGAGTAGAATAATGAGCATCCTCCATTTGATTTGGGCTGCAGGAAGAGGTGTGCCCTTAGTGAGGCTTATTTTAATTAAATCAGAAGGTAGAACATACAATGTAGAAGTTGAGGAGTCATGTTTGTTTCCAGTGGAATAGGATTTATAGTAGATATTAGAGTTGGTAAAGAGGGCATCATGAGAGAGGAAACATTAAACAGTTTTAGGATGGGGTTTGTTCATTCATTTAATAAGTGTTTATTAAATACCTATTTTGTATCAAGAACTGTACAGTAAACAACATAGATGTCGTCCTTGCTCACATAGAGTTAAATGTGGCTGTTTAAATTAAAATTAATTAAAATTAATACTACAATTAAAAATTCAGTTCCCCAATCACACTAACCACATTTCAAGTGCTTAATTAGTTAGTGACTGCCGTATTAGACAACATAGATATGGGACATTTCTATCATTGGAGAAAGTTCTATTATATAAATGGTGTAAGAGGAAATAGATTAGATGACCAAAGGCCTTACAATCTGGATGATAGTGAAGTTAAGAAGCCTGTTGAGTTTAACAAGCTTTGAGATTCTGGGTAGCATTTTGGCTTCAAGTGTTTCTTTGCCAACACCAACAAAGACAAAATGTGACCTCATTATAGCCTATTCTAAACAGTGTAATCCCTGATGTTAACCACTGTCTTTTTTACCTTTATTTGGCATCTTTCAGGTGTGGCCATCTGGATGGGGACTCTAAAGAAGTATCCCCTATCTTCACCCAGTTCCTAGACTGTATCTGGCAATTAATGGAACAATTTCCTTGTGCCTTTGAGTTTAATGAAATCTTCCTGCTGGAGATCCATGACCATGTTTTTTCCTGCCAATTTGGGAACTTCCTTGGAAACTGCCAGAAGGATCGGGAAGATTTGAGGTGAATTCAGTTTGTGAGAGAACACTACAAAAGGAATGTGCCAACCACCCTGAATTTGGGACAGCAGTTCAGGAAAGGGGAGGAGATGACAATGATAGAAAGAGCTTTTGAAGCGCAAAGCACTCAGTTTTTGCATGGGGATTCCTCAGAACCTCAGATTCCTCATCTGTAAAATAAGGATAATGATACCTACTTTTCAGAGAAATCATGAGTAACCAATAAAACAATGGATGTGCAATAACTTTGTAACGAATCATTTGCTATGCATGCATGAGTAGACCTTCATCACTTGTATCAAAGATCACAAAATGGCAGCTTATAAGCCAAATCTAGCTCAATAAGCATATTTTGTTTAGTCTGTGGAATATATTTTAAACTGTGAATTAGTTGCTAACATTTAAATATCAGGATAATTCACATAAAAATCCAGTTATTTTAGGATTTTGTCCTAAAAGGAAATGCCATTGTGTGAAGATATTCTCCTGAAAAATCAAGAGTTGTGGCAACATTGGACCTGCATTTTCTCATGCTAATACTCAGAGCTGAATATCAGCTGCTTAACTTGGATGAGGCAAACCCACTCTTGTTGGCTACAGTTCTCACTACTCCCTAATATTTATTATCAGCCCACTTCTAATGTTATCTTTCCAGCTCCTGTAAGTCATAGAATTTGCACTGAACTTGAACTCTAACATTCCCACAATATCCAAAGCATAAGTACTTTTTGAGTTTGACAATACAGAGTTTCTGTGAGCAGTAGTCGTCTTGTTTTAGAGACAAAGAAACAAATAGGGAAGTAGCTATCTCACTACCCATTTTTGTTTCACAGCTATTGGTTAAGTTAATTTAACTGTTGGCTAAATTAAGTTCTCAAGTACCTCTGAAGTATCCTGGATGATTTCACCTCTTTGTGATTAGGTTTTCTTGTCAATACAGAGAACAGTGATGGATCTTGGTGCTTTAACATTTGTACTTACTTAGTAACTTCTATGCATGTTTCTCTTTTGCAACCAGACCTTTCTTAGCCTTTTCCAAAATGCTTTTAGACACATTAATTCTGTCTAGGCATTAAAACTCAAGATCTTTTCCATATTCTTTTTTTTAATTGACCTTAGAGAGTGGAAAGGAGAGAAAGAGAAACATCAATGTGAGAGAAAAACATCTACCAGTTCCCTCCTACACACACCCCAATCTGAGATTGAACCCACAACCTGGGTATGTGCCCTGACCAGGAATTGAACCCACCAACTTTTGGTGTATGGGGCGATGCTGCAACCAACTGAGCCACACTGGTCAGGGTCCATATTCTTTTTTCCATCTTCTTAAAATTAGGCTAATATATCCTACACCCATTCCTCACACAAATCTGAATCTCCATGTAAAAGTACAAAAGTTGAACATTTTAGCACATATTAAAATAGTTATTACTTAAAACAAGCAGAAGTATCATTCATTCATAAAAGGAAAAGCATGGACTCTAGAACCAGAGAAACCTGGGTCCAAATTTTGGCTGTTACCTTCTAGCTATGTGACCTTTAGCAAATTAATTTTTGTCTGGTTTTCTCATTACTAATTTTACAATTTTAGGTCCTACCATCCATACCACTCTGCTTTGTTCTCTTCCTTGAAACAGTGTGTGCAAATGACCTTCCTGTGCATGGTTACACAGCAGTTCTCATTGGGGATCAGTGGATTCCATGCTTTCTCAAGTGTTAACTAAGGGGCTTACTTGCTTGGTGAGCAAGGTCTCATGGTCTCAACTAAGGTATAAGAGTTAGTCTTACAGCCTGGCCAGGCGTGGCTCAGTGGTTGAGCGTTGACCTAGGATCCTAGGCGATCGGGGTTCTATTCCCGGTCAGGGCACATGCACGGGTTGTGGGCTCGATCAATGACTCTCTCATCATTGATGTTTCTGTCTCTCTCTCTCCCTCTCCTTTCCTCTCTCTGAAATCAATAAAGATATATTTTTTAAAAAAAGAGTTAGTCTTACAATATAAATATCACAGTCTTTAGCTGCTCACATAGTATAATTCACAAATATTTGCTAATATAAATTACGAATTGTCTTTCACGGTTTTATTCCTTCTGAGAGGAGGAGAAGCTAGCTTGAAATAAGATGAAATATAGAAGATCCAGAAATTCACCTTCTAGGCTGTCTGTTAACTTACCAGAATTTCAAAAATGACTCCAGATTTTTTAAAAGGTGATCAGTTCATAGACTCCTAGATTTGGAAGAGACCTTAGAGGACACCTTATATGAATGAGAAGACAGGCCCAGAGAAACCTAGGGTCATTCCTAAGATCACATAGCTACTCCACAGCAGAGGCTCTCCAATGTGGAACTCTCTAACCTCTTATTCATTTTAAACATGGATAAATTATAAGGAGTTAAAAAAAATGGATAAATCGAAGTCTAGAAAGTTCATTATTCAATCAGTGCTCATTAGCCCCTTATTACCATTTTCCTTCTATCATATCCTATCCATCTCTCTTGAGTTGGGTTACTTATTAGTAAAATTTGTCTGATTATCATGTTCAACAGGACTATTGAGATTACTTGCTTGCTATTTTTAATTTTTTGACTTGTTTTTCTTTTTTGACAGAATCTATGAGAAAACTCATTCTGTGTGGCCGTTCTTGGTTCAGAGGAAACCAGACTTCAGGAACCCTCTCTATAAAGGCTTCACTATGTATGGGGTGCTCAATCCTAGTACTGTGCCCTACAACATTCAGTAAGTTCCTATGCTGCCCCCTCCTTTCTTGCAGCAGGCCCCAAGGCCTCAGCTGCTTTGCCTCTCCTTGTATAGCTACCATCATCTCCATAAGCCTGGCTGTGGAACAGGACACTCTCCCCACATCACCCATTCCTTGCTGCCCCTGAAAACAGGACCACCCTTCTTTTGATTTTCAGTGATTTGCTATTACTTGAATAGGGAAATAAACTAGAAATAATAGTTGATTTGTAGTAATACAACCAGTCAGGATGTAGCTTGCTTTATTCCTCTTAGTCTTTCCTTGTAACTTCTTCCTCTTTCCCAGCCTTTTCCCCAACATAGAGAAAGAAAGAGAAATAGAAAGTGTTGCTATTGTTTGCTGTACTTTTCCAAAAAAACCATAAATAGAGGTTGTTGTGTTCACTGACTTCAAGTGAATGGAGTACAAGATGGTTGAATATGTTTATTAGCTCTAATAGTTTATTTTGTGTATTCCTTAGGATTTTGTATATATAAGATCATGTCATTTCTAAATAGAGATTCTTTTACTTCTTTCTTTCTAATTTGGGTGCTTTTTATTTTCTTGCAAAATTGCCCTCTCTACAACTTCCCAGAGTATTTTTTAAATTCCATTATGACTTCTTTGATCAATTGGTGTTTAAGTGTGTGTTAATTTTTACACGTTTGTGAATTCTGTTATTTTCCTTTTGTAATTGTAATTGATTTCTAATTTTATTCCACTTTGGCCAGAGAATATACTTGGCATGATTTTATTCTTTTTAAATTTATTACAACTTGTTTTAAGACCTAACATAAGTCATATCTTTGAGAATGATACCTGTTTTGTAAATTATGTGTATTATTTCAGAAGAATGTGTATTCCGCTTTTTGAGGTGTAGTGTTCTAGTAGGTCTGCTAGTTCAAATTGACATATAATATTATTCAAGTCCTTTATTTTCTTTTTTTTAATCTTTCATCTTATTTTTCTATTTATTATAAAAAGTAGAATATTGAAGTCTCCAGCTATTACTATAAAACTATCTTTTTCCCTTCAGTTTCATCAACTGTCTGTTTTTCCCTTTGACTCCATCAATTTTTGCTTCATACATATTTTGAGATTTATTGTAAGGTACATATGTGTTTATACTTATATATTCTTGATGCCTTAACCCTTTTATAAATACATAATGTCCTTCTTTGTCCCTTGTAACAATTTTTGACTTAGTCTGTTTTATCTTCATTAGTGTAGCCACACCAGCTCTGTTTTGGTTACCATTTGTATGGAATATCTTTTTCTATCCATTAACCTTTTTCACTTTGAATCTAAAGTGAGAATCTTGAAGACAGCATATACTTAGACCATGTTTTAGATCATGATTTTTTTAAACCCATTTCACAAACTTCTGCCTTTTAATTGGACAATTTAGTCTATTTACATTTAAAATAATTCCTGATAGGAAAGGATTTGTGCCACTTTGCTACTTATTTTCTATGTATATGTTTTTTGTTCCTTAATTTCTCCATTACTATTTTCTTTTATGTTAAATCAGTATTTTAGGTTTACCATTTTAATTCCCTTCTCTTTCTTTTTTTGTGTATTTATTAGTTATTTTCTTATTTGTCACCCTAGTGATTGTAATTAACATCTTAAACTCATAACTGTCTAGTATCAATAACAATTTTGCTTCAATTGTATATAAAATCTTATATATCTTATTCTCTTATACAGCTCCATTCTCTTCTTTATATTATTGTTTTCACAAATTACATCTTACACATTGTGTGCCCATTAACAAAGACTTGTAATTTTTTTCTGAAAAATTTTAAGGAATAAAAGAGGAATTACAAATCAAAAATACAATATTGCTGGCTTGTATATCTAATTAGTTACCTTTATTGGTATTCTTTATGTCTTTGTATGGCTTAGAATTACTGTATAGTGTCTTTTAATTTCAGCCTAAAGATTTCTTTCAAGTTTTTTCTTGTAGAGCAAGGGTACTAATGATTAACTTCTTTAGTCCCTGTTTATTTGGGAATGTCTTAATTTCTCCTTTGTCTTTGAAGGATAGTTCTGCCAGATATATAATTCTTGGCTGACCGGTTTATTTTTCCTTTTAGCCCTTTAAATATGTAATCCCACTGCATTATTGCTATGGTGATTTCCAATGAGAAATGAGCTATTAATCTTATTGAGGGTCCCTTTGTATGTGATGAGTAGATTCTGTCTTGTTGCTTTCAAGATTCTCTGTCTTTTGATGTTTGATTATAATATATCTCACTGTGAATCTCTTTTAATTCATCCTACTTGGAGTTTCTTGAGCTTCTTAGATATTTGGATTCATATATTTCATCAAATTTAGGATGCTTCTCACCTATGTCTTTGAATATTCTTTCTGCCTCTTTCTATCCTTCTAGGACTAACATTATGTGTGTGTTGGGATGCTTGATAGTTTCCCACAGGTCCTTTAGACTAACTTCACTTTTCATCATTGTTTTTTCTTTCTACCCCTTAGAGTAGGCAATCTGAATAGACCTATCTTCCAGTTAGTTCATTCTTCTGCTTGCTCTAATCTGTTGTTGTATCCCTCTAGTGGGTCTTTCATTTCACTGATTGTACTTTTTATCTCAAGAATTTCTATTTTGTTACTTTTAATAATTTATCTCTTTATTGATACTCGTCACTTGGTGAAATTTCATTTTCCTGGTTTTCTTTAGTTCTGTGAGTATATTTAAGACAACTGATTTAAAGTATTTAGTTGAAAAGAGGACAGTTTGAATATTATAAAATGTTAATTCTGGAAATCAGGTCCCCTCTTTTTAAGGTTTGTTGCTGCTTGTGGGTTGTTATAGTTTGATTAGTGACTTTTCTAAACTATTTTTGTCAAGACTGTATTCTTTAACATGTGTAGTGACTGAATTCTCCTTCCATTAGTTAAGTGGTCAGCTAGTGATTTGACAGAGATTTCTTTAAATGCCAAAAAATAAAAATAATTTTCTGTTTTTACAGATTGGCTCTGTGTTGTTGTACACCTTCGATGCTTATACAGGCTATTTATAACTCTCCCCTTGCCTTCACTTCCTGCAGTGTAGAGCCTAAAAGTCAAGCCACACATGAAAGGTTAGGGTCTTTTCATGTCTTTTTTAGCATGTGCATATCCTGTGGCATGTACCTGGCCTTCTACCTACCCAGGTATATACAGGAGTATTTTAGTGTCCTTATTTTCCCATGTATCATCTTCCCAAAACTTTCTTCCCAGACTTTTCAATATGTCAGCTGCTTGCCCCATCTATTATCTCTTGCCTCAGTTGGCTAAGTGTAGTACATTTGCCTTTAAATTCTTTCAATATTGTCTGGAAGGCCACTCCAGCCCTGATGAAGTTCTGAGTTGGACAAAACAAGCCCCTGGGCCCATCCTTCAGGGGATACCAGAGAGGTAAAAATACACAACCACAGTATTTTGATAAAAACATCTGTAATGCCCTTTCTGGCACCAGAAAGTCACATTGTTAATGTAAACTGCCATCCCCAAAGCTGCTGCTAAGTTGGGGACTGAAGGCTGCCTGACAGGTAAGTCAAAATATTGTCACACTCTTATCAAAAATATATTAGCCCGGCCGGGCTTGGCTCAGCAGTTGAACATTGACCTAGGATCCAGGTGATTGGGGTTCGATTCCCGGTCAGGGCACATGCCCTGGTTGCGGGCTCGATCCCCAGTGGGGGGCGTGCAGGAGGCAGCCGATCAATGACTTTCTCATCATTGATGTTTCTCTCTTTCTCTCTCTTTTCCTCTCTCTGAAATCAATAAAGATATATTTTAAAAATATATATATCAGCTCTATTGTACATTAAGCACTTCCCTGATTGTTTTAAGTTTTTTATTAGGCTCTGAACTTTCAAAATAGTTAATTATTACTGTTTTTGCCTGCTTAATCATTGCTTTAGTGAAGAGGTGGAGTTTTAGAAATCCCTACTTCACCATTTTCAGTGATGTCAACAGTGATAGGCATTTTTGTTGCCACCATTATTCTTCTTAGTTTTGGATATTCCAAGTGAGAATTCCTCAGTGAAGTGATGCTATTTACAAGTGCTTCTTGATAATTATAATGCCAAAAATTCTCCTATATTTCTTTGAGAAATGAAAACCAGATCAAGGGGAATATATAATAGACATATTTTATCCTGTTCCTCCACTAAGTAAAACTAACACCCTTGGATATTATAAAACAAATATTAAGCTAGTATGAACAGTGGAGAAAAAAAAGGGAGACTGATTAGGGTCCAGAGGACTGAAGGAACAACACTATGGTGTATTCCATGAGTTTTCTTTTTACTTCATATATCCCAGACTTGGAGGTGAAAAACCTGACAACCCAGAAACATCAAGGATACAAGGGGGAAAATGCATTAGGAGGAGCCTGTTTTATCTTGCCAAGGGATCAGGAAAGGGATAGCCTACCAGGACAGAAAACTTAGACCATAACTGCTCACCTTTAGTCAAAAACTACATAAATAAATTGTGGCCCCACCCAGCCAGCAAAGTCCAAGTAAGTAGCCTAGATTTCTACCCTCACCAAGCTGTAACAAAGCATCCAAACATCCCCACATCCTCCCATCCATGGTGGTGTCACAGAGGTGGTCAGGTGGGGAGCTGGGATTTTTATCCACACTAGATATTCTCCTCCTGGCATTGTTCTGTACAGATCATGTAGAGACCATGAACTTTCACCTCTACTCAGCAATGATAAAGTATTTCTCCCTCTCCCCAGTTGGATAGTATCAGAGGAGGACTAGTGTAGAATCAGGACTTTCACCACCACCAAGCATTAGTGAGGCCACACTGTGGTATCATTGGGAGAAGTAATGAAGTACTTCTGCTTACCCCTGCTAGGGTGCTATCAGCATAGCACTAGTCCCCACTCCCATGCAACAGCACTGTGGAGGCCCTCCCCAGCATGAGTGTCAATGGAAGCCAAGTGGGAACCTCAGCTTCTATTCCCACCAGGCAACACTGAGTAAG